AAAACCTTAGTTTCAAAACCCCTTTTATTTTTATTTTTATTTTTTTTTTAATTTTTTTTAAAGGGTCCATTTTAGCCTTGCAGCAATGTCTCAGTCTGGATGAAATACTGTTCGGCTTGTATTTTGTTCATCCACACACATTGGAACTAAAGTGAACTGAGACAAGAAAAGGAGTGATAGTAAAGAAAATGAGAAGTAAAAATTATGTGGTTTATAATATAGGCTACCAGTAGTCAGTTTAAAGGTGCAGGGAGCACTCAGTAAGTCTCTTCCAAAGCTGGAATTAATAATCTCAGGGATTGGAGTGAGTGCTCTGCATGCTGTGACTGGGTACCAGAGATCTTTCAGAACAGAAGATGCTTTAAATTCTGCCCTTCCTTTGTGAGCCTGATGACACACTTGTCAAAAGAGTTTTGCAGATTTAAGAAAAAAGAATCAACACCTCTCTCCCACAAACTACCGTCTCTTCAGAGTTTTCTTTTTGTTGAGCTATAAATTYATTGCTGATATTGGCTTAGTAATTGGCTGTCTACCTAATATAGTTRTCCCACAAAAATGTACAGGCTCTCTATCCCTCTCCTATGAAGAAAAACATGGAGCAAAAATGTTRGGGGGGAAAACAAGAAAAACAGGACATGACTTTCTTTGGAGTAAGTATATGAAGGAATTAAAGGATCCTCAAAGAGATATTCTTTAAAATGTCCATGTTTGTTAATGATTGGTTCCACARTTGGTAGAGGCAGTAGGATAGACAGGTGGGTGGGGGAAGTATTAACCAAAAATGTCTGATCCAAGATTTTAAAACAGGGTTCTGTCTTCACCTGCAGCATTCATGCATATGCTGTGCTTTTGGATGCTGACAAGGAAATAACAGAACCCGCCTTACTTTTTTTTCCTGTTATGTAGTGGAATATCACAGATTGGGTTGTCATCAAATCGTTGTTAACACAAATTGTCAGAAATTCAGCTTCATKCTTGAGTTATGGAAAGAACTGAAGTTGTTTTTTGGGCAAGGCTTATGGCTAACTGTGCTTTTTGTCAGCAGTAGTGAAAAATACTGTGAAAAAACAAGTGCTGCCCTAGTTCAAGTGACAGCCAAAACTTCTTTAGGTCTCTTTTAAATGCTGTTAGAGGAGAAACTGAGGGACTTAGTCCCTTTAATAGGTAAACTGAAAGTGTAGGACTAACCCTTTAATAGGTAAAATGAAACTGTAAAAGAATCTATCTTATTAAAACAGACAGAAGTATTGTCTTTAACTTTTAACTATGTTCCTTCAGTCATATATATGTATATATATATGTATGTATAAATCTTATGAAAAATGGCATCCTAAGGGAGATTTTCAAAAGCACATGAGAAGTCTATGAGCTGCAACCTGTTAGACCTTTCTGTCAATTTTCAGTCTTCAGCCTGGTCAGCTGCAAGAGTTGGGAGTTTGCATCTGAGGATGACCCTGCTGAGCATTTCAGATGTGCATTTATGTATGTGTGGTTCTGGGCAATAGGTTGTTTGCTGTCTGTGATGAATGGTGTTGTGTCTACAGCTCACTGTATAAATGGCAGATGCTTCTGGTAGCACAGAAGGTTKTTTKTTTTTTTTTTTAAACTTTTGGGTTTTTTGTTATTTGTTTCCTTTAAAATGTCTGCAGCCCAGACCCACTCTGGTTGTAATGCCTTTTGAATCCTAGGGGCTGAATAAAACCGGGCCAAGTAATCCCTGGGAAGTTCTGCAATCTGAATTTCTAGGAAGCAGGGTAATTCAGCACATCTAATACTTTCCTCTGAATCAGTGCCATACCTGACAGGGTCTCAATGAGTGTTTTGGCTGATGTTCATGCCTCCTGCTTTTATAGCCCTGAGCCAGGGCTCCAAAGATGATCAGAAATCCAGGTTTGAGTTCGGTAGGTTTTTAAATGTTTGTGTCATAATGGGGAGAATTGTCCTCAGCATTCTGGTCAAACAAAACTTCAGAAGGCTTGCCATTTCCTGAATCCTGTGATGAAATAAGGCATTTTGTCTCTTTGGGTTATGGAAAAGAGGATCAAGTTCTTTCCAGTAGATTGGAAATAGGTAACCCTCAGTGCTCTTGCTTTTGTTTGCTAATTCAGGCTCTACCATTTCTATCTTCCTGGACTTAACACCATGGAGCAGGGCCACAAGAATTGCYCTCTGGCATTTCTGAAAATGATCATTTCCCCCTTCCTACAAAGAAYGAATTTCACATTGGAAAAGAACCAATATAAAACATGATTTAGTTTGCTTATAAAATGTTAAAAGATCTACTTCTCTGTTTAGAAGTAGCTGTCTCTAGTTATAAAGTTACGAAAGACAGCACTGACTCCTTGAAAGGAAAAGAAAGTTTATATTTGCACAACTGTTTGGGTTTGGTACCCAAACCTCAATTTCCCCCACCTGGTAATTAGTTGATCAGTATGTAAGTAAATATAATGATAACRTGATTTATAGGACATGGAAGAAATAATAAGGTAAATAATAAAGTAAGTTCATTTGTGTTGCACTTTGGCCTCCTTTTAAGAAGGATAATTAAGTCTCAACTTTTCTTTGAGTGGATCATACAGAGATTTCTTSAGTATGAACTAAATGGATTAGTTTTATAGAAGCTTTTTTTCAATTGATAGATTTCACTTGATAGATCAYAAATTCATAGAGTGGCGTGAGTGGGAAATGGTATGAAATATATTCGTGAGTTTTGTTTCAGTGAGGAATTCTTGAAGATATGTGGCAAAATGAATTCAGATTTTTAGGGTTTTTTTTAAGTACTGTGCTTTGGACTACAGAGTAAAAACAGCCCACGAAAGAAAAACATGTCCTTGGTGAGGAATATGTGTGTGTGTATGTATTGGCTCTGCCTCAGMAAACGTGTGCCTAATTTAAAGAAGGTGAGTAATCTTGTTTGGGTGGTGAGGAGAACGCTTAAGTACCCTGTGAATGAGAGCACTTAGGAACAACTTGGTGCTAAGGTATCACAGGAAACAAGGCTAAGTGAAACCCTTAGAAGGAAAACAAGATGTTCTTCTGATTGCAACTAATGTCCACCTTGGAGCTTTATCTCTGAAACATCTCAGCAGTCAGGAAGTTACACAACTTAAAGCTGTTTAACTGTACCATATTGTACCTTAGAATTTTTATTTTCTTCTTTGTACATAAATGATGGGGCATTTTTTTAACAGTTATAGAGAGTTATGCAGGGTAAGAGAGGGGTAAGAGCTGAGTTTCTGCTTGAAAGAACTGGCTCACCTCATGTATCTGCATGACTCCTGAATGGCATGGCAGTCCTTGGATTTTATTAGTGATTGGAGTAGATTTGCATTGTATTGATGGAAGGAGAATCTGGGTTTTCTCTGAATTAGAGCATGCAACTGCAGTTGACTTTAATGGGAATTTTTTTAAAACTGAGATAGTCCTGGACTTACACATTGCACAAAGAGAGCCTGCATTCTGTTCACCAGGTCCACTGGATCTGGCAAACCTCAGGAAAAAGTGGATTCTTCAGTATTTACTGAGATACAGTCTTAGGAAGGTCCAGAACAGAGATTCCTTGAGGAACTGCCACTTTAGCTGGACACAACTGTGATTTTCTGCCTTTACCAAGGATTTCTGTGACTTTCTGCCTTGGTAGCTCCTGGAGCAGCAAAGGTGCTTGTTGTTTGGGTCCCAGCTGTGTTCAGCCATGATGGAACACTGTTCTGCACGGGTGGAGGAGACTTTCACTCCCTCTTGGTTCGATCACACAATTCCTTCAAAAACCTCACTTGGCAGCATAAAATTGAAACAAACACCTCAAAATTCTCGAAGATAAGCAACCTCCCTGCCCCTGACACTTGCTGCTTATGGATGTAGAAGAAATGGTGTAAAATTGTACTGTCACTTACAAAACCATGATGTGTTTCTTCAGGGCTTAGTCAAATCTCTTGCTCAAGCCGGTGTGTCAAATTAATACACTTAAGTCTACCTGGTAATTGTGTTGATTAGGTGGAGAACAGGGAAGGTAAAYCCTATTTGTCTAATTAAAAGCTGATTGTCAAGCCAGCTTGTTTATGGAATCTTTCTTCACCTGGTTTAACTGATAAAGCAAATTTCTCTGTGCCTTGTAATACCAGCCTTTTGTCTTCCGAGTATGTGAACATTTCAAAGTTTTGTCTTTTTTGCTGCCTCTTTACATGGAGTGGATAGAAGTCACCAGAGCCTCCGAGCAGCTTTCCCAGCTGCCTTCAGTTACTCCAGATTTGAGATCTGAGCCTCTTCTCCCAAGAACTCCCTCCAGTTCTCCCCTGAGGCATAGCCCAGAGGCAATTTTTTCTCACCACATGCTGTTTAAGTTATYATTTATCCCAGCTATTACTTGAAGGTGGCTGTTCTGTCACTGCTGCAGTCAAAGCAGTTGAGTACATGTACAGGCAGAAAAACAACCTGTCACTGAAAYCCATGTAAATGCAATCCAGCAGCTATGCACAAATAGCCAACTGTTTTTGCATCTTTGACTGGAGGCAGCCAGCAATTAAGACACTGTGCTGGTCTACAGCCAAAAGAAATAGGGAATTCCCTCAGACTTTTTTTTTTTTCTGAAGTGATTAATTGGGGCATAATCAGGTTTGGCTCCATATTAATCGGTGCAGTTTGGATATTAAAATTCTGAGTTCTCTGGCTGATGCTTCCCAGGCTGTTCTCAGGATTGCATTGCACTGTGATTGGGTTACAGTCATGSTAGCAGGATCAGGTGAATGGAGCAGTTTTCCTTGCAAGTGGAAGCCACTCTTTTCCCTTAATGGGACTTCACATACATAGAAAAAGGGCAGTTTGCCCTTTTTTGCTTGGGAGTTTGTTCCTCATAGAGTTGTCACTGGAAAGGAGTAAAGGAGCAGCCTGTCAGTTTAATTGGTGCAATAGTATCTACCAACTGCAGCAAGGACCAAGATCTGTGTTGTTTTCTGCCTTTGGTGCCCTCTTCATCCCCCACATAAACACTTCTATCTTTCCAGTGCCTGTGATAACCATTGGGTTACTCAAAGGATTCCTTGGGAGCTGAAGAGGCAGCACCTTCCAGGCTCAGGGGCATCATATCTGGTGAGCCACATGCTCTTTATGCTTTTGTTTTTTGTTTGTTTTTTTTTAAAGCTATTTTTTTTTTGTTCTGTTGAGATGATTGCTATCATGAGCTGCACTTTAGTGCTATCTTAGTTTCCTTTGAAACTCAAAGTCTTGTAAAGAAGGAGGATGTTTTGGGGTAGTGATCAGCCTGATTTGGAAGACACTTTGTGGTAGTCTTTTGATCAAATTGGTTGCCAGAAATTACTTGTACATTTGGCAATTTTCCGCCTTGATTTTTCTTTTTTTTTCTATGTGTTTTTTTGTGCTAAGGATTATAAGTAGTATGTTCATAGTAATTTAGCTCTCTAAAGCACTAGAGAATTTTTTCCATGTTGTGGCTCCATATTAATCCCCTGGTTCCTGGAAATTACCTGAATGGGGAGGGGGTGTTTTTCCCTTGAGAARGCCTAACTCTTGTGTCTTTGTCATTAACCCTACATGTGGCCATCTTTGCACACACGGGCTACAGACCAAGATCTTTAGGTCAGCCCAACAGCCACACCAGGCTTTCTCCTGGTGAAAGGTTATGAATATGGAGACCATTATATATCATTAAGATAATAATGTTGCTGAATATGTCAGCCAAGTCAATGACTCTCTATTCCCCAGGTGTTCTGGCTTTAGTTTGATAGGGACACTTAAAAAATTCTGCTTGCCAGGTGGGAGAAATTTGCCTTTCAAAAGATCATTGCTTCAGCACTTGATAGGAGACTTGCTAAGCAATGATAATAATAATAAGTGTTCCCAGGCTGCACTTGYTTTATAATTGCTATTTAGCCCAAATTGCTCCAAGTGAGGAAACTCCATCATTCTGACTACACAGGTGGAGGTTATGATGTCATGCATGGCAAATTCASTGATTCAGAAGGAAGGAGCACTTATATAAAATAGTAATACTATTGTTATAGTAGTGAAAACTAAGGAAAGCAAAAAGGATTTAAGACTTGAGTGAAGAAGCCAACTTTGTTGAGGAGGTGAGGAAAGGACTTGCTTTGAATGGTTACCTTGCTTGTCGAGCACATCTGGAGTGACTGCCAYTGTCTGTGATAAGGAATATCACAGATCTCATCTTGAATTTTCCTGTAAGGGGTGAGGTTTTGCAAGCATCCCAAGAAGTTATGGCCATGTGTGTGGCAGAGCTGGTGGCTCTTGTGTCTGCCTTCACTTCTAGTGAGTGAGTAGYAGGCTCATCTCTGAGTTTTGTACCATTTTTCTCGTTCACCTTTTAGGATGRTGGGTGTTCACAGACAGGTTCAAATGGCCAAGCCCAGCAGAGTCCTGAGCACACACTGAGTTTGTGCAGCTGTAGCCTGCCTGCCCTTCTGGCCTGTGGTTATCACAGATTCTGTCAGAAGATGAGAGAAAGAAGAGGCAGAGTGAGTTGGGCTGAAGCCAGGAGAATAGAAACCTATGAGTGAATTTGTTGGACAGCATTGGCTYCCAAACACAATTTTATTAGCACATAGATCTATAAAGGCTCCAGTTTCAGTCCTTGGGAATAATTAAACCTTAAGCAGTGAAAAATAGTGCAATATTCAATTAGTGAGCTGTCCTGACAAAGACATGTCAAAGTACATTTTTTTGAGGCTGTTAAGTATGCTGACAGAGTTGGTTAATTCTTGAAGGATAATATTTTGGGCAAATTCCCAGCCTCCAAGTGCCTGCAGGCAGACTTGTCCATATTTGTGGTATATTTGAGGTCTAGTGTTCCTCCTTTGGGTCATATATTTTAAGAGGGAATTTTAATGGAAGGAAACATTGCTGCAGAGCAACAGCCTTCTCCGAAACACTTTCCAAAGAAATGTTAAGGCCAAAGGTTTTGTTTTTTCAGGGCAAAAGAGTGAATCCTCTATATTTACTCAGTTATAAATAGTGATGGGCAAGGCTCTAAGAATGGATTCCTGGGAGATTGTATCAGGGGAAGTTATTCCCCAAACTAAGCAAAGGCAGTGGCTGTCTTTTAATTGTTATATCCTCTTTGGCGCAGAGAACAGCATTGTTGTTAAACTAATGGCAAATAGTGGCAGTAAATTTGAGGTTTTCACTYCTCTCAGGCTCAGGTGCCTCTTATTTATCTCCACTCCCAACAAGAACAAAAATGTGTCTCATTTCACCTAAGAGATGGCAGTTTAATGCTGGGRGGAATGTTCATGCTGAATGTTTTGGTGCTCCAGCCATGGCATCAGCAGAAAGTGCAACCCCACGGGGAAAGCACTTAACTGGGTGCTGCTCTTGACCAGCTGGGCTTGAGCAGGGATCTGCATTTCATTTATCCATGCCTCTCTTCCTCCATCTGGGAATAGGAGAGAAGATTATAACTTAGAGAGATGCTGTTTGAAAATGTCATGTTACTTTCCATTGAAAATTAAATCTSCCAATACCATTGCTAATAAATAGGTAAGTGTTACCCAATTCCCACAGTGAAATTCAGTCTCTCACAGTGCAGGTCTTGCAAAGTTCAGCGTGCAATTTATGCTTCACCAAAGTGTTAACATGAAACCCAAATGCGACATAAGCCTTGCTAAAGAGCCTGAAGGTTGGAGACTCCATAAATGCTGTGACATTCCAAACAGGRGCACACTGAGGTGTCTTTATAGACTCAGCCATATGCATCCCCAGGAAAAAAATGCCTAGCCAGAAAATTCTAAAAAATAAGAAAATGCACAGCATTATTTCTTGGAAAACAAGTGCAGTTTCTGATGTGCTTTCTAATTTTCTGTATCAAGAGTAAATGTACAGTAACTGAACTGACTGGAAATTGTTTGGTAGTAAATACATTAGCTGAGACCTCAAAGAGCAAGAAAAAATACTTTTCAGACACTGATGTGGTTTTGTGTAGATGTGTCTGTTAGTACTTATCAGAGAAGAAAAAAGTAAAACTGACTTCTAATAGTTATTAGGTATCRTTCCAAAATCTTGCAGTTGAACAGTTATTTCTACTAATGTAAGACAGGTATTTAACTCTGTAAAAAGCTGTAGCTAGGCTGTGTAGGATATTAGGATACTTGAAATTTTAGAGAGCCCAAGAGATTTCCCTCTGTAACTTCTTGTATGCTATCTGTACCCCAAAGAATTACAATTAATACCCAACACTCAAAAAAAAAAAAAAAAAAAAAAAAAAAAAAAAAAAAGGGAAAAAAAGAAGAGGGAGAGACAGGGATTAAGTGACAGAATTGCTGCTTTTTTTGGTGGTTGTTGGTACTATCATATATGCTAAAGCATTCCAACCAAGGGCATGTGGCTGCAATGGAATTTGATGTACAATCAGTTTTAGGGAACAGCCTGTGCCTTGTTAATGTAATCCATAAAAGGCTTCCAAACTTCCTGAAACCAGTCCCTTCTGTTTCCAAGTCTGCATATGATCTCATAGGAAATGATCTGGGAGAGGCCAGCTAACCCTTTTGCATAATCAAGGTGGTATTGTTCCTTTAAGGCCTAAAGTGAGTTGTTTCATTGATATAAACTCAATAATCCCTTTTGCTTCTGTTGACAAATCTGTTATCAGACTTTGCAATCATTTTGGTGGCTTTACAAAGAAGAATAAGTGGGAAGACTCAAGTGTGACTTGAAGACTGACCTTGATAATGTCATTCATTTCCTTTGTCACCCTTTTTTGTCTTAGCTATTTCAAATAWCCTAAACCACTTGCTACCCAGTGACATTTGGAAAACTGAAATGCAAATACATAACACAAATGGGCAAGGTTTATTTTGCAGTGGGATCAGTCAGGTGAGCAGTTAATCCAGCACCTTGACAAGTTTAATAAGTGGCAGTAGTAGCAAGAGTGAGGAAAATATCTGCCTTTTATATAGGTTTTATATCATATGTGCATATATCTTATGTGTGCATTATCAGTAGATAAAGGAAGTGTGTTCTTGTATTGAAGCTCTTGAAAACCCCGCTATTTACACAAACCCAGAGTGCCTCTCACAGAGCACKKTGTTTTATTTCCKTGGGATACCCAGGATTTCCTCAATATATTTAGCCCAAGAAGGGAAGCACTCCCATGAGCTGCTATCTCTGCAAGCCTTGTAGGGCAGTGAGCGTTAATCTCCCCTGGCAGGGCAGGGGAACAAAGGGCTCTGGGCTTTGTAACCRGGCACAAGTACAATTATGGTTGAGTTCATGGGAACAGACACTGCACCAGGCTGAAATCACAGTGAGCCTAAGCAGAGGGCTCWGTGGCACTCTGCTTGCTGCAGACTTGTTAAATTTGGCACTCTGCTCTGGGCTCCAGTCAAACATTTTCTTAACCATATTAGGATACGTGGAAATTGGCCAGCCAGCAATAGGCCTTCGATGTACTTATTGYTTGTGCTCGTATTTTATAGAGTAGACAGCCACTGCTTTCCTTAGAAACTAGCAGGTTTAATWGAGTAGGACAAATAGAATGCTTGAAAAATTGTCATTAAAGTTTGGTAGGGGAAGAAAAAGAGCATTTCCCRAGACAAAGGACATTTTTATAACAAAGTTTGTGGTTCCCTTGTGTTTTYAATCCATAAATATTCATCACTCTGTAAATAAGATCCCAGTAAAAGTTCACCAATTATATATTATGCTGCTATTCAGGTGAAAAAACAGAGTGAAGTGAGTCTGACTGGCTATGATGTGAGCATTCCCATTCCCTTTATTAACTTACCCAAGGCATGGCAGCCCCAGTAGAGGGGCAGGCCAAAAGAAATGAGTTGGTGACTCTCAAGGTTTGCTTGAGTTTGGCTTATGGAGCCAAACTACCTGGGGGAGGTGCAAGAGCAATGGGCCTGACATCTGTGCTGCTTCAGAGGMAAGGATATCTGAAACTTGGTCAACAAGGGATAGAATATTCCACTGGAGAAATTCCAAAATAGAAAGTTTACAGGGTTTGACTGACAATTTTTAGGTTTTGGARGGATRAGAAACTGAGAAGCTGTAGCAATGGTTAAGCATATTGTCAGGTCTGCCTTACGTTCTAGTACATTTTGCTATTGAAATTACTT